AAAAAGATGACCGGTAAGGGGATCTTAACCCTTGACTTGGTGTTGTCAGCACCACGCTCAGCCCCTGAGCGAACCGGCCATCCCTATATGGGATCCGAACCCAGGCCTTGGTGTTATCAGCACCGCACTCTCCCGAGTGAGCCACAGGCCGGCCCATTTACCGGTCATCTTAAAAAAAAAAAAAAGTTAGGATATGTGGGTCCTAGCTCTGGAGTGAGTGGCCACCTGCAGAAAGACACCTGGTCAGCAGTTGTACCCCCTATCGCCACTGGCTGGTTCTAAAACTGTTTTGTGAGAAGGCTGGAAATGGCTTCTCTACCGAACCAGCTTCTGTGAATCAAGGGCATGGAAAATGACAGGACAGCCCATTCACTGCTCGTTAATTCACATCCTGAAATGTGACTATCTGGTTTTCACTATCTAGTAGGTCCTCAAAGCAGGAAATCCATTATAAGCAGAGATACCCTCAACCTCCAGCTGTTGAAGCCCTAAATCTAACAGTCATCCTTAACCCTTCCTTTTTTCTCACCCACACACAGCCCCATATCCAAACCTTCTTCATCTTCTAAATATCTCTTATTACCCTTCATTTTGCTCCACCTTCTTGGCTCCACCCTGGTATAAGCCCCATCCTGTCCCTTCTGGATAACTCTATGGCTTCTTCATTAGCTTCACGCTTAAAATCTGCTTAAAACCCATTCTCCATGTTGCAACCAGAGTCATCTTCTAGAATACAACTCTGACCATACCTCTCCCCATGGCTTCAAGGCTGACATGCTCTGGCCCCCGTTTACCTATCCAGCCTCACTAGGCTTCAGAAATGCTGGCTTATTTTCTGTTCAACAAACACACTGGGCTTGTCCCCACTTGCCGTTTCCTCTGCCTGGAATGCTCTTTCCCCAGATCTTCACATGGCTTTCTCTTCATTCTATTCAAGGACCTAAAAAAATCTTGCAAAAGCAGGTCGCAGACTTTCTTCACTTTTGCCCTGTGACACAGCTTCCTTCATCTGTGAACACTCAGACTTGATAAACTGTCACTGGGGAAGCTGGGCTCTGAAGGCCTGGGTTTTCTATTCCGAGGAGGAAATGCATGCAAGTTCCAGGCAGAGGGAAGAAAAGCAAGAGCTCCTCTTCGGTCCTTACATCTCCTTAGTGTCCTGAGAATGTCTGCATGCTTGCTACACTGTAACTTCTGTGTTAGAGAATACAGGAAGCTCATCTTTCATTGTAAATCAGATCATCTCTGTCACTCATTTTAGGAGTCAGATGGCAATGAGGGTCACTTCAATGGAGAAAAGCAGTTGTGTCCACCCTACTGATAGTTTTGCTTGTCCTTCCTGAGATGGGGCAGGTTTGAAAATATTTTCGGAAGTTCAAAAGGGTCCAATAGTTAAGAGAATCTTCTCTACACACTGGAGCTGAGAAACCAGTGTGGGTAATATTATCATCCAATATTATTTGAATAGAAAATAAAGGGTCTTTGCTGAACCTCCCTCTCTCATAAAAATAATTCCTCAGTAAAGCCTATTTTTTAATGTTTATTTTAATTATACATTTTTATGGAGTACAGTTTGTTGTTTTGATACATGCATATATTGTATAATGATTCAATCAGAATAGTTAGCATATCTATCACCTAAACATTTATCATTTCTTTGTGGTTTATAACATTCAAGATCCTCTTTTCTGGCTATCTTGAAACATACAACATTATTAGCTATTGTCACCCTAGAGCATCAGAACTTATGCTTCCTATCTAACTGTCACTTTGTACCTGTTGACAAACCTCTCCTCATTCCCCCACCTCCCTCCCCTTCCCAGCCTGTGGTAACCACGATCTAAAGATCATTCTTTTTCCTTTTTTTTAAAAGATTTTCTTTTTTATCTGTGACATTATTTTTATTAATGACATCAACTCTTCCTGAAATCAACATACTTCTTGTTCACCTCTTGATGCAGCTGAGAACTTGAATATACGCTGGGTTCAGCCTAATGGTCTTTTTAATCTCTTCTGTTTCTAAAATTCTTTTTTTTTTAATGGTTTGTTTTGTTTTTATTGGTTATGAATATTCATGGGGTACAAAGCAAATTGCCACCACTCGTGCCTACGATGTGATGTGATGGCCAGATACATACTGGCAGCATGTCCATTACCACGAATTGTGATTATACCCCAGTAAAGTCTAAATGATGACAAATTTTATTTTACAGGGATGAAAAAGCAAGTCTTGTTGTTCACATTTTCTATTAGGAGGAAAAGGCTGTGCTGCCTTCTACAGATCTCTGTTTTATATGGAAATGTCATTATGTAGCTCCAATATATAGGAGTTCAACAATTTCTAGGATTTAGGGACCCTCAATCCTGGAAATTATTCCTTCTTCTTTTTTTTTTTTTTAAAAAAAGGATGACCAGTAAGGGCATCTCAACCCTTGGCTTGGTGTCGTGAGCACCACGCTCAGCCATTGAGCCAACCAGTCATCCCTATGTAGGATCCGAACCCCATGGCCTTTGGTGCTATCAGCACCGCACTCTCCCGAGTGAGCCATGGGCCAGCCCCATTCCTTCTTTTTTTATAATGTAATTTCATGTCTTGATGATACTATATAAGGGGGACAGGCCAGTTAGCTCACTTAGGAGAGCATGGTGCTGAGATGATAATACTATATAAGACTCAAAAGGAAAACTTGAAGGTTTACTGTTTGAAAGGTTTTTTATTTTTTTTATTTTTTATTTATTTACTTATTTATTTTTTAAAGATGACCGGTAAGGGGATCTTAACCCTTGACTTGGTGTTGTAAGTACCACACTCACCCAGTGAGCTAACCGGCCATCCCTATATAGGATCTGAACCCTTGGCCTTGGTGTTATCAGCACCACACTCTCCTGAGTGAGCTATGGGCCGGCCCGAAAGGGTTTTTCTTTTTTTTTTTTTGGGGGATGACCGGTAAGGGGATCTCAACCCTTGGCTTGGTGTTGTCAGCACCATGCTCAGCCAGTGAGCAAACCGGCCATCCCTATGTGGGATCCGAACCCGTGGCCTTGGTGTTATCAGCACCGCACTCTACCAAGTGAGCCACGGGCCGGCCTCGAAAGGGTTTTTTAAAAAGTAATTTGATTTACAGAAAAGTTGCAAAAATAACAAAGAATTTCAGTGTGCCTTCACCCAGATCACACTTGCTTTATCATGCTCTTTCTATACAGAATCATATTTTTTCTAAACCATTTGAGAGTAAAGTTGCAGACATATGCCCCTTTACTGCTAGGTACTTCAGTGTGTATTTTCTAACAAGGATAGTCTCTTTTATAAAGCCAGTGCAATTAACAAAAATTAAGAAATTAACACTGACACAATGCTATTACCTAAGCCACAAACCTTATTCAAATTTTGCCAGTTGTCCCACTATTGTCCTTAATAATAAAAAAAAAAAGGTTTTTTTCCCCCTGGTCCAGGATGACATAGTAAATTTGTCAGGTCAAATTTGTCACCTCTCTTTAGTCTCTCTTAATTTGGAAGAGCTCTTTGGTCTTTGTCTTTCATGATCTTGACCAAAAACCTTTGATTTTTTTGAGTTCTGAATCTTTTCACTCACTGGTTTAGAAAAAGGAAATACATTTGTTACATTGGGGACCTGAAAGAGAAAAATGCATTTCCCTAAAACAAAGAACAAATGACCCATTTTCAAAGAGCTTTTCTTGATCACATTATTCTAGTGTTTCTCTTTTTAAAATTTATTTATAGCAACTGTTACCTTGCAGATTTATCTGTTCGTATGTTTGTTGTCAGTCTCCCTGACTAGAACATAAACTCCAGGAAGGTAGGCACTTTTGTTCACCAGTGTACTCCCAGAGCCCAGCACAATGCCTGGCACTTACTAGGGGGTCAATAAATATTTGTTGAATGAATGAATGAGAAATGCCTCGCGGGCTTGTAGTTTAGACTGGTTAAAGGCACTCAGCGGGGTAGAGATTGGTTCTCCTGGGAAACCGGCAGGGAGGTCCCTTTAGGATGAGACTTGACTGTGAGCAATGAGGTCGGCAAGAGCTTTCAGATCTGCAGGGATACCCGCAGAGGCCCAAAGATCAGTGAGGCCGCCGGTAGTAAGAGGTTCTGTAGCCGGGCAGTGCCGGGGGCATGGCACCTCAACGAGATAAGTCTGCGTCCCGGCCAGCTCCCAGCCTCCCAGGAACGCAGGCATGGTCCCATTCGCCTCCTCCGTTCCTCCCTCGTCCCCCTTCCTGGCACCCCTGCCGCACTCCGCTGCTGAAACGCGCCTGTCATCCACATCCTGGCTCCGGGGAGCTGGCCGCTTTCTGCACTCTGCAAATCCCTCACCAAACTAAGCAAAGTTGTCTGAGGAAATCATAGTCTTTCTCAAGCTCCAGGTCTGGGGTCCTCAGACAACCAAGGGCTCCGTGACAGTATGTGACTGCCGGACAATCTAGGGACACCCGCTTCTCCACGTTCATTCGGTTCCCTGGTCTCCTTCGGCGACGGGCAGTGGGAAGCCAAAGGGATGCGGAGGAGGGGAAGGGGGAGTGTCTGTGCCTTGGACATGGCGGTGACCTAGGCCCGCCGTGGCAGTGGTGGCTGTCCCGGGTGGGCAACCCTTGCGCGGAGGGTCACCATGGGCGATGTGGCGGGGCAGGGGGCCGGGCCGCTTCCGGAACTGGCATCCCGGAGGCAGAGGGGCCCTGGGCTAGAGCGGGGCGGCCTTCCGCTCCCAGGCCCGGAGTGGGCAGATTCGGGGTGCGGAGCCGCGGCGCATTGCACCTTCTGAGGGGCTGACGGCTCGGCTGTTTCAGGGGACCTCGCCCGTGGCTCAACCCCGGGTCGGAACATCCCCCTTCTTGACCAGCGTTCTCCGGTACGCCCGCGGCGGCGGGAGACTTTACAACTCTCGCGAGAATGTCAGAGAACGAGGCGCAGCGCCGCTTACGGGGTTGCCAAGGCAACTGGGCGGTGCCTGAGCGCGCGGGAAGGCGGCGAACGTCGGGATTTTGCCCGCTAGCCGGGGAGACTTCAGGAGTGACCATCTTCTAACTTCCAGCCTCAGAAACCACAGCCTCTGCTCCCGCTAGTGCCCCTGTCCCCCAGGGCCATGGGACGGGTCTCGGGGCTCGTGCCGTCTCGCTTCCTGACGCTCCTGGCGCATCTGGTGGTCGTCATTACCTTATTCTGGTCCCGGGTAAGCACCTCGTCTGCCCTCCTTCGTCCCCCATTCCCATCTCGGAGCGGACCCAGCCCAACCCTGCTCCTTCCCCCAGGATCTTCCCCACTTGGGGCCTCCCACTCCCCACCGCCCCCAGGCCTGCCCCGAAGCCTGACCCTTTTTCACTGCTCTTTTTCTGCGCCCCACCCCGCGCCCTCCCAGGACAGCAACATCCAGGCCTGCCTGCCTCTCAAGTTCACCCCCGAGGAGTATGAGAAGCAGGACATTCAGTGAGTTGTTGGGGTGAGGTGGTCAGAACAAAGGGGTGGTGGGAGTCGAGGGGTCCTAGAAGAAGTCTAGAAGGCCTGAGCCAATCTCTTTCCTTTCTGCAGGCTGGTGGCAGCTCTCTCTGTCACCCTGGGCCTCTTTGCAGTGGAGCTGGCTGGTTTCCTCTCAGGAGTTTCCATGTTCAACAGCACGCAGAGCCTCATCTGTATCCTTTCTGCCTGCCCATCTTTCCCACACGATCCATTTACACCACCACACCCTTCAGCCACCTAACTAAGCCTTTTTGGCACATTAGTGTCTGCTCTAGCCGGCAAACAATCTCTCCAGTCGAAAGATCTTAGACAGTGTGAGGGATTTAATACAATCTTCAAGCATTGGTTAAGCCCTGTGTCGACCTGAAAGAAACTGAGGCGGAACATATAAAGCATAGAATTTATTGTCAGTGTGCCTAGTGCAGCAGAGGAAATGCATAGGTCAAGTCACCCTGAGGAATGCGTTCTCAAGAGGGCCAGCATAGCTGAACATTTTATAATCAGAAGAAGGGGGAAGAATCAAAGGAGAGAGAGAGGACAGCCCAGCAGCAGAGGAAATGCATAGGTCAAGTCACCCTGAGGAATGCGTTCTCAAGAGGGCCAGCAGAGCTGAACATTTTATAATCAGAAGAAGGGGGAAGAATCAAAGGAGAGAGAGAGGACAGCCGTGACTTATCACTTCATCAGTTTTTCTATTGGCTGTACATGACATATAAATTTGGGATTGTTACTAGGTTACATCCTACATGCAAGGATCTAGGGTAAGAATTACAAGAGGCATTCTAGGTTATTTTATGACTTTCTGGTGCCACCATGTCTGCTTCTAAGTAAAAATGGTCATGTGATAATATTTTCCAGGACATGCAGACATTATTACTGACTTATCCCAGATCTCCCAAGGCACTACAATTTATTTGTATCTCTCAGCATAAGTTATGTTAGATATAATTCACAAGTTAGGCAGACAATCACGTGTGAAAATCCTGTCCTAGTCAATTGATTAAAAGAGGTGCAAACCAAAGGTAAATCAAGAAAGAACTCCCATAAATATACCTTGGGAAATCCGCGTGAGACACCGACATTCCTTTCAGAGAAATGTTATTTTCCAGAGGCCAGTGAGAGATGATGGGCATTTTTGTCCCAATAATTACACAGATAGGACTTTGAAAACATGTATGAACAGATCTGTTATCCCGATATTTAGGAGTCAAAGGGCACAGACTGAAGTATCTTCTTCAGAGATGGGGAGGGCTGTGTCTTTGCATATCTAGTGTCTGTCCCAATGCTCCGAGGACACCAGGGTACTACAATTTAGTTGACCTGGTCAGAGCAGTATTTTGTTTTTTGATATCGTCTGCTATGCACCAGACATTTAAGATCCCCAAAATGAGAGTAAAACATAGTTCTCTACCTTGAGGAGGAGGCAGACACACAGACACATCTGTAATTCAGTGTGATAAGCACTGTGCTATCGGAGTACTATGGGAACTCAAAAAGACAAAGGAAGTGAGGAACATGGACCAGAGAAGGCTCTTGGCTCTTGAATTGTGGACCAGAAGACTAGGGCACTTGAGGGTGATTCCAGCAGTGTATCAAGTCACTGTCAGCATTCCTGTGTAACCTAGGGTAGGAAGGGAGCCTACTCTTTTGTTTTCTTTTGTGGGGTGTGGCTGGCTGGTACCCTACTCTTACCTCACCTGAAGGGTCCAGGCTGGCTCCTAGATATGAGGTGGAGGTACCCTAGGGTGCCATCTATGCAGGCTCAACGCTGGCCTCTACTCACATGGCAGTTATAAAACTCAGAAGACAGGGCTGCTGACTCTGGCCCTTCCAATATGGTGAGAGAACAAGAGATGAACCTAAGTGCAGATGCCACCCCCATCACCGGCCTTTTCTGGGCCGTCACTACCTGTCGATCCAAAGACTTTCCTTGACTCTGGTGCATTTCTAAGCCATTGGGGCTCACTGTAGTGCATCCGTGGCCCTGTCCTTCTTCATTTTTGAGCGTTGGGAGTGCACCACGTACTGGTACATTTTTGTCTTCTGCAGGTGCGGTAGCACCCTATATTTGGGGATGGGGGAGGAAGGTTTACCTAAACTCTGAAAGTTTCCCCCACCCAGCCCTTTCCTCCCTGTGAGATACACCAGACCCATTCAACATTCTGTAGTCTTGTGAAGTTTCACACACACCCTACCATCTGCCTCCCTACTTTTTTTTGGCCGGTAAGGGGATCCAGACCCTTGACCTTAGTGTTAGAAGCACCAGCTCTCCCAAGTAAGCTAACCAGGCAGCCCACTCCCCCTACAGTTTGAGGGTGGGATTTCTGGTTTGGAGATTTCGGTATTTATATTGGAATGGCCCCTAAACCCATCACTTACCTTCCGCAGCGCCCTCCCAGCTGTCACTGAAATGGCATTATTCGTCTCCGTCTGTGGGCTGAAAAAGAAACCCTTCTGATTTCCGTCATGACGGGAACGTAAGGACGAAGGCTGGAGGAGAAAGGGGCCGCTTACTGTTACTGGAAGAAGGAAGGCATAGGCTTTGGTCCTCCATGAAACTGCCTCTGATGGATTATGTCAGTGTTGGGATAATTATCTCCCGAACCTGGATTATCAGCGTTTACTTTAATGCTTTGCAATATAATATATATCATATATTATATAAGATCAAGACTTATACAGTTTTCAGGGGACAATTGGGGTGTCCAAACTACTGGAGAAAAGAGAGGCTGTTTTCCATCCCTGCAGACCATATAACAGGCATCGCTTCTTCCTTGGTTATTACGGTAGATGTCTGGCGGAAGTGGGTGGGCGGGGATATGTAAATAAAGTGCGAGGTTAGTACTCCCCGCAGCTAAGCGAGCGGAGCATTCTGGGAGAAATTTGTTTATCCATTTTAGGCAGCCGAATGGAAAAAAATTACTTTCAAAGATTTGCCAGTAAATGTACGACAGAATTGGAAGAATCTTAAAGAACCCGGTTGGTCGGACAATGCAGTATATACTCACCCTATTTTATAGCGGAATCTTTTTTAGCAAATATTGGAAGGGGCAAGACCATCCTTATCGTCAGGTGGGATAATCCTTACCTGTACCTCCGTTTGGAGGGCAGATAGAATATGATGATTGGAGTTCGCATGATACGTGATTAACGTCTCTGCGTAATCAGGGTTTGCAACACCCTGGTTGCTCCTGTCTGATTCTTCCTGACGATCTTCTGTGTTTGTTCATTAGCAACTATCAGAACTTCTCTTACGTGTTTGTGGGTGACTTGGGTGGGTCCGGGTTACTCACTTTGCAAGATAGTTCTTTTGGATGAGGCACGGCTTTTCCACCTCACTTTGCAAGCTAGTTCTTTTGGTTGAGGCACGGCTGAGTTTTTGTTTGGTTTATCTTTTCTAGTCTTGGAGCTTCGATAGTACAGAGAGGCCTTTTCCTCACCTCTCAGTTTTTTCAGAAAACACTTCGCACCAGTACATGTCTGTAACTTTATATATATTTCTAAGTAATGTAATCGTAGTTATTGTATTCCACTTTTTTAAATTTCAGAAACTTACATGAGTAAAGAATCATCTTGCGAATCTCTGATTTTCTATAAAATGATCATTTGTGTCAGTCAGATAGAATATGATGATTGGAGTTCGCATGATACGTGATTAACGTCTCTGCGTAATCAGGGCTTGCAACACCCTGGTTGCTCCTGTCTGATTCTTCCTGACGATCTTCTGTGTTTGTTCATTAGCAACTGTCAGAACTTCTCTTACGTGTTTGTGGGTGACTTGGGTGGGTCGTGGGTGATTTGGGTGGGTCCGGGTTACTCACTTTGCAAGATAGTTCTTTTGGTTGAGGCACGGCTGAGTTTTTGTTTGGTTTATCTTTTCTAGTCTTGGAGCTTCGATAGTACAGAGAGGCCTTTTCCTCACCTCTCAGTTTTTTCAGAAAACACTTCGCACCAGTACATGTCTGTAACTTTATATATATTTCTATTTCTAAGTTATGTAATCGTAGTTATTTGTTGTATTCCACTTTTTTAAATTTCAGAAACTTACATGAGTAAAGAATCATCTTGCGAATCTCTGATTTTCTATAAAATGATCATTTGTGTCAGTCTTACTTAGTGTTGCTAACGGTCTATTGTCAAGCCTTCCATATCACCCTGTGAAGAAGCGCCACCTGCTGATGGTGGGACTTCTCTGGTGGCTGGAACTCCCACCGAGAAACCTGGCAAAGCACCCCTTTGTTTAGTCAGTAGTCTGATGAAACACCCCCCCCCCCCCCCCCCCCCCCCCCGCTTGCTACTGCGTGGTAAGAACACGTTCAAAAGAAAGTTATTAGAACAAGTACATGCTAAGGTGTTATACAAAAGATTATGAGTCAAAAGTTCTATCATGTCACAGGATGAATATTCTCAGATTCAGTGTATGTTGGGGAAGGTTCTCTGCACACTTTTCAGCCCTAAATGATGAGCCTAGATCATTCCAAATAAGCAAACAGCATCCAAGGAGATGATTTCTGGCGATGTCTTTCAGGTAATGCCTCACACACATAACGTTTCGCTCTTTCCCTTCTCATGGCAGCCCTTCATCCTTAGCATTCATTCAATGGATATTTGTTGAGCACTTACTATATGCAAAACAGTGTAATAGATACTGAGGTGAGGAAGTAAGTCTGAATATGACCGATTCTCAGCTGTGGTCATCACAAATCATATGGCTAACAGAGACAGTGTGATAAGGGTAATATTTCCAGTGTGATAAGTGCTACAAAGGTGACTTAATAGACGCTGTGGAGTGGGATTAATTTGCCCAAGGTGGCAGAAAGAGTGTTTCTGCAAGAGCAGTTTGACTGAGATCCTGGAGTGTGGCTAAAGCAGAGAGGTGGGCGAGCAGAGTGTGAGGGAAGCAAGGAGGGTGGACTTTGCTGGCCCTGGTCAGAGGCTTGATCCCATCCTCTTGCAGTCCGCCTTTCACCCTCACCCAGTGGAGTGCGCTTACCCACTTAAGACAGCTGTCTGTTTTTCAGGAACTTTGTGAGCCGGCTATTAAACACAGCCATTATTGAAAACTAAGTTATGTAAACTTATAATTAAATAAATTATATTTTAAGTACTCAAAATTCATTACTTCCTGATTATTTTATTAATAATTCTTTTTTTTTTTTTGGCAGCAGGCTGGTATAGGAATCCAAATCCTTGACCTTCATGTTGTAACATATTTTACAAACTCGTGAGGTTATTTACATTTATTGTGTCTGTATGGTGGAAATACTATATAATGATGTTCTGTTGTGCATCTTTTCCCAACCCATTAGGGACAAATTGGTGGTTTGAAATAGGCATTGGTGGAAGTATTTACACTACAGAAATTGGCAAATGCTACAAATCAGGCTTTCTTGATCATCTAGATTTAAGAAAGTGATGGAGAATATGTTAGTGATGCAGATTAAAGTGTCATGTCTGTGGGTCGACCCATGGCTCACTCGGGAGAGTGTGGTGCTGATAACACCAAGGCCACAGGTTCGGATCCTATATAGGGATGGCCGGTTAGCTCACTGAGTGAGCGTGGTGCTGACAACGCCAAGTCAAGGGTTAAGATCCCCTTACCAGTCACCTTTAAAAAAAAAAAAAAAAAGTGTCATGTCTGTAACTGTTACATTATGTATAGCACAAAAAGTTGAAGAAATATTCTCCCAGGATTTGAAAACTATTATCTGATTCTGCAAAGAAGTCACTCAAGTCATTGAGGAACCAGTGAAATTTCAACAACATATATTTTCATGGTTTCATTTTTGTCTTACTTGTGAATAAAAATATCAACCAACAATCATGTTCGAACTACACTTGTAGTTAGGATACAACTCCATTTATGAAATCATTGGTACAAGAATGGAATTTACAGTAAATAATATATTATTATTTGTAAATTCTGTGCTACACAAACTTTATATCAGTAAAATTTATAATAAACTTATGTATATACATAAACACATACCTCTTTTTTTTTGGCAGCTGGCCAATACTGGGATCTGAACCTTTAGAACTTAGTGTTTTAACACCACACTTTAACCAACTGAGCTAACCAGCCAGCCCATAAGTACATACTTTTTTTTGGAGAATTAATTCTTAAACATTCACTAGCACACTCCTGCCCCTACCATCCCAAGAAACTGCTCATCACGAGGGACTTATTTGGTCACTTCTCAGACTTGAGCGTGACCTCTTTTCAGATATAGTATGTTGACCACTCTCCTCTTTTGAACTTCTTTCTCCCTTGACTTCAACAATTGTTCCTCTGGTTTACCTCCCTCTGTTCTGGCTGTTCCTTCTCAGATTCATCCAATAAATAGTATCTGCAGTGTGTCAGTCACTGGAGACATAATACCAGGTTATTCTCTCTGCTTTCTCCTTAAATATTGGTGATCACTACTCCTTGGGTGACTTCATCCACCTCTGGTCTTCAAATACCAACTAGATGCTGCTGGTTTCCCAATCTGGCTCTTACTTATATGAGCCCTAGCCTAAGGCAAAGACAATGGGAGCAAACTGGACAACCAGACTGTTTGCCGGGTTCCAAGTGCAATTTCTCTCCTTGGCTGTGTGATGGTTAGCAAGTCACCTACTGTCTCTCTGCCTCAGTTCTCTCACCTACACTGCAGAAGTAGCTACTAAAAGCACTTCAGCTATCTGTGTTGGTCAACACCAGAGGCTTTGCCAGGAATTATAAGCATAGGAAATCATTTTAATGTGCCATCAATGGGTTTCAGCAAAGAGATCTATCGGTGAAATTAGTGGCATTCTGGATATGAGAACTGGCTCAAACATTTTTTTTTTTCCTTTTTGTCTTTTTTCAGTGTTGCACCCGTACCAAGATCTATCGGTGAAATTAGTGGCATTCTGGATATGAGAACTGGCTCAAACATTTTTTTTTTCCTTTTTGTCTTTTTTCAGTGTTGCACCCGTACCAGACCGGGACCGGCAACAGGATCACAACCCTCGGTGTCGCACCCGCACCTCGCTCAGCCAGTGAGCGGCCGGTCTGTATGTGGGATCCAAACCCTCGGCAGGAGCGCCACCGTGCTCCCAAGCGGCGCACCGGGCCGGCCCTGGCTCAAACATTTTAGACACTCCTAACCATTGCAGGAACGAGGCCTGCAATACCTCACATATGGCCCTGAGGCTTGATTCCTAAAGAGCTCTCTGTCCTGCCTTGGGTGGGTCCAGGGATTTCTGATTGTTTGATGCCTTCCATGAGGGGAACAGATCAGCCTCAGGGGAATTACTACATCTGCTTCGGGTAAACCCTTCCTGCAAGGTTCAGGGACTTTATCGAGCTTAAAGAGCATGCTATATGAACTGTGTTTGAACCTGCTTGCTAATTTTCTGTAATAATACTTGTATGTACGGCAGAATTCTCAAACTTTTTACCAGGCAGTGAGGGGTGGGGTGGGAAGTGCTACTGATACTTATGAAAGGGACAAAATTGGCTCAGGTCACAACAGTATCTCATGGGATTGTTGAGAGGATTAACTGAGATAATCCAGGTGCTTCTGTATGGGGGTGGGTAGCAGGGTGTCAGTCCTATGGTAACTGCTCCATGCCTTTTCCCTAAGTTGACTTGGATCCTGGGACTCTCCCCTCATGGTGAACATCTATTGTTTTTGACCATTCAGCATCCATCTCTTTTTTTGGTAATAGCACCTC